CGGCCACCCCTCGAGTCGCGGGGTCCCACCACGGGGAGCCGCCAGCAGGGCTCTGCCCCACGCCGCTGGGTGCAAACTTCTTCACGTCTTGTTCTGCCTCTTCTTGCAAACACTGCAGGAAGGTGAAGACCGCAGACAGGCCACGCTTCACTTTCCTATGCTTGTGAATCCAGCATCTTTTGTGGGAAACACAGAACCTTAAGCCTTCCGTTGGCTTTTTGAAACACCAGGAAGGCCAGGGCTTTGTCAGAGTGCTGGGCAGTGAAACCTAGACATCCTTAAAGACCAGTATTTCTGCTCTGATTAGCAAGGTGCTGACTCCAGTGGGAAAGAAATTAACAATAAAATAAAATACTGCACCTGAGGCAGGACTTGCCCCACAGGAGGAGGGCCCTCTTCCTGCGACATGCAGAGCGCGGGGCTGCCGCAGAGCCAGACCAAAGTCAGAGCCTAGTCTGAGCCTACCATACAACGACACCAGTTTTCTTGTTCTTGGTAAGGGAAACATTGATTTGACTTCTTCCAGACAAGGACTGTGCTGAAATCTTAAGAGGAAAATATAACTTATTTTAAGTCCTGAAGTTCCGTTGCTGAGCATGTCGATGCACTTGAAAGAAGAGGTCAAAACACCAAGAAATGAAAAAAACAAAACATTTTTTGTGGGTTTTAGAAGAGATTACAGAAAAAACATACTGTGTCCTTAAAGTGTTCCAAAATCTGTCAAGAAGAAAACTTATAAATTATAGTAATGGATTTCAATGTAATCTTTACTGTATTACTTTGAAAACTGCATTGCATCTTAAGGTGGCTTCCATGCAAACCTCAGTTACTTTATCAAATGCCAAATTCAAGTAAAATTGTGCAACGTTCATATAAAAAATATCAAAACCTCTTTTCATTGATTTCCTATTATCAAATTAAGAAGATCAGTATAAATGTAAAATATACAAAGGAATTTTTTCTTTAGCAACACCATACAAAATATATAAAAGTATCTACACTTTTTATATATATATATATAAAG